AAGATTTTTCTATCTGGATATTTCCCATGATAGACATATTATTCTTCTGACCAAGTCATGAAATATGCTTTTGAAACGGGTGCAGCAAAATATACTCTTTAGGGTACGTGAAGAAAAATACAGGTCAAGAATAAAGGTCTTAGAAACCTTGGCAGCTGGGACAACTAAGGAAAACGAGGTACTAATGTCCCTGATTTCGGTTTTTCTCTTCACTTTGCTTCTAATTCGCTTATTGATTGATCTTACTGTTTCTCTTTGTTTTAGATTGTTACGAACTGTATGGAGCATATAAAGGTATGTTATTGATTCAATATGTATCTTCGTACATATTTCACTTTTAGTTTAGTTCTTGCATCTGGAAAAGTTGGTTTACATGGCTCATAATATTGAGCATAATTGCTTGTGGAAAGCAACTTTTGAACGAATCCTAGATACTGATAAAGGCTCAGTCTGAGAGATCCTATCATAAAGCCATTGTGCGCCTCTTACTTAATAGCGTGACTACATACAATATATCTTTCATTTGGTTTGTGTATTAAATTTCTTTAACACGAGTTTTTATAATGTGCTGTTTTCCGATGTGCTCTGTAGCTTGAGAAAACCAGAATAGAAGAACGAGAACAGTCAGAAGAAAAAGATGTGGCGCGTTTGAAAAAGGAAAAGGAGCGCAATGATGCTGAGATTCGCAAGTTGAAGCAGGAACTCAAATTGGTGAAAGAGACACATGAAAACCAGTGCTTAGATTTAGAAGCAAAAGCACAAAAAACTAAAGTCGAGTTGGAGAAGAAGTTAAAAGATGCGGAGATACAGGTAGCAGAGTCAACTAGGAAGGTGAAAGAACTGGAGAAGTTGTGCCAATCTAAATCTCAAAAATGGGAGAAAAAAGAGTGCACCTACCAGAACTTTATAGACAACCAGTATGGGGCATTGCAGGTTGACTTTAGAGAGTTTTCTAAACATAAAATATCTCTGGTAGTATCTTTAACTGATATAGATTTTGTGAATTATGTAGGATTTGAATGCTACTTCGGTGTCTATAAAGCACGAAGTCTTAAGGACACAGAAGAAATACTTTGAGGATCTAAATTACTATGGTAAGATTCATTGCTGTCAAAAATGTATATAATTGCTTGGCATCAATGCTTGATATTGATAATCACTTTTTCGTAGGTTTGAAGCTCAAAGGAGTGGCTGATGCAGCGAAAAATTACCATGTGGTGCTTGAAGAAAACCGAAAACTGTACAATGAAGTGCAAGAATTGAAAGGTAAGATTCTTTCAGTCAAGGTAGTTTGTTTGCATTAGACCATTCAAGACATGACTTTTGTTTTTTCTTTTGCCTTTTTTTAGGAAATATCAGAGTCTATTGCCGGATTAGACCATTCCTTCCAGGGCAAAACAGTAGACAAACTACCATAGAATACATTGGTGAAAATGGTGAATTGGTGGTTGCAAATCCATTTAAGCAAGGGAAAGATACGCATCGGTTATTTAAGTTCAATAAAGTTTTCGGTCAAGCAGCAACTCAAGGTTTAAACCTCTTTCCCTCTTTTCTATTGCTAGCTTTCTCCTCATCTTCTCCCAGTTTACATTTGCTTCATATATATAGATATAGATATTTATTTATTTATCTCCTGAACTGTTTTTCTTTTTATGCAGAGGAGGTTTTCCTAGATACTCGACCATTAATTCGATCCATTCTTGATGGCTACAACGTTTGTATATTTGCGTATGGTCAGACGGGCTCTGGAAAAACTTATACAATGGTAAATTACATGCTTGATTTTGGTCTTTTTATGTTTTAGCCAAGCATTATAAGTTTCTAATGGACATATTTTCATTTTGCTAATACAGAGTGGGCCAAGCATTACTTCAAAAGAAGACTGGGGTGTCAATTACAGAGCTCTGAATGACTTGTTTCACTTGACTCAAACTAGACAAAACACTGTCGTGTATGAAGTTGGTGTTCAAATGGTTGAGATTTATAATGAGCAAGTTCGTGACATACTTTCTGATGGTGGTTCCAATCGAAGATATCCTTTCCTAATCTAATATAATTATGAATATGTAGATTCATGTATATATATATATACATATGTATATGTATATGTTTGCATATGCTGCTCCTTATGGCATTTGGTTCTGTGAGTGCGTTTGATAGAAAATTTCCTTAACTTGCATACATTAGGGATTTGGAATACTGCCTTACCAAATGGGCTAGCTGTCCCAGATGCAAGCATGCACTGTGTGGGATCAACTGAAGATGTGCTTGAGCTGATGAATATTGGGCTCATGAACAGAACCGTGGGTGCCACAGCTCTTAATGAAAGGAGTAGTAGATCACATTGGTTCGTAAACTTCTTTCCTCAACTTATTTTACCTTCCAGTATTAAGTCTAGATTCTCAAAAGCAAAAACAATGTTGCCCAATTATCTGCAGCGTTCTTTCGGTTCATGTTCGTGGTGTCGACGTGGAAACCGACTCTGTGTTGCGGGGTAGTTTGCACTTAGTCGATCTTGCTGGAAGTGAGAGGGTTGATCGCTCTGAGGCAACTGGAGAGAGGCTCAAGGAGGCTCAGCATATAAATAAATCACTGTCAGCCCTTGGAGACGTCATATTTGCACTAGCGCATAAGAACCCTCATGTGCCGTACAGAAACAGCAAATTGACGCAAGTCCTCCAAAGTTCTTTGGGTATTTTATTAACCCTCTTTGTAGAAAACTTTTAGATTTTGGTTACACGTATTGCATGATATATCCATTGGCTTTGTGTTGTTGGTATCTTCAACTCTTTGTTTAAACTATTTTCTTTTGTTTTGTAGGAGGTCAGGCCAAAACTCTTATGTTTGTTCAAGTCAATCCTGATGGAGATTCATATGCTGAGACCGTTAGCACTTTGAAGTTCGCCGAAAGAGTTTCTGGTGTGGAATTAGGTGCAGCAAAAAGTAATAAAGAGGGACGAGATGTTAGACAACTCATGGAACAGGTCCTGATCTTCTTTCTCTCTCCATCTCTCTCTCCCTCTCAAGTTTTATTCTTGCCCACTGAAATAAAAAGAGGATAAATGTATTTGTATCTTGATATCATTTGACATAACAGGTATCAAATTTAAAGGATGTAATTGCCAGGAAAGATGAAGAGCTTCAAAATTTTCAGAAGCTAAAAGGTAATAATGTAACCGCCCTAAAACGTGGTTTGAGCAATTTAAGGTTGGCGGGGCCTCAATCACCTAGAAGACATTCTATAGGAGCTTCACCAAATGCCCGACGAGGAAAGGCCTCTGGTTTGTTTGGAAGAGCAAACTCAGATGTTGACAACTGCTCAGAATATAGTAGCAAGCATTCTGATTCTGGTTCACAGCATTCATCAGACGAACGTAAACATCGAAAGGATCTTCACCAACCATCCAAGTTTGCTGGTGGAGCGAAAGAAATTGACTTTGAAGAAGATATTGAACTCTTAGGCCTTGCAGATGCAGATTCTGAGGAAAGATTGAGTGATATTTCTGATAGTTGTCTTTCGATGGGAACAGAAACTGATGGCTCCATTAGCAGTGCAGTGGAGTTGACTCTATTCCCTGAAACCGCGAAGCCTCTTGAAATAATCGAACGACGTGAAACACACATGGCCTCTGAGAAACCTGAGAAATCATCTAAAATGGTGAAAACTGAGCCAAAAGACAGGTCAGTCTCCTCTATTAGCACACTTTCATAGAACAATCTGAATGATGGAGGTTTATTTACGGGTTCTTTTACTTGTTTTGTTTTGGGATTCTAAAAAGCAGAACTAATATTCCATCAAAGATTCCGAAGCAGACCTTGAAACCACCAGGTCAAACCAGACCTTCTCGTCTGTCAGTTGCCACTAGCTCCTCCTCTAAGGCCTTAACAAGTAATGTCTCCCTATACATCAACTCTTTGACTTGTGTCCTAAAAAACAAATGTGTTTGCCTAGTTACACTAAAACAGGCTCTAAGCCTACTTAGATTTCTATGAAAGAACATATGAAGTAGACGCTTGCTTATATACAACTGAGAATGTCCCATAGGATCATTAGTGTGAGTTTGCTCATGAGTCATCTTATCTTCTTGATTGGCCTCAGGTGCTAAAAGACCGACAATAAGCACGTCATCTTCAGCAAAACCACTCAACAGAAGGCGGTGAAGACTCGAGATTCAGATTCATCCCTATGGCTGGAGTAAGATTTGTGATGGATTTTGAGGTAATGGTGTTTAGTAAGCTAATTGTGTAACTAATTAAGCATATGCTATGATGTCTTTTTGTTCTTCTTCAATGTAAACCTAATTAACAAAGCACCGTAACTAAGTGTTCTTTAGTGTTAACTCAATCCTGTCCACGTAAGCTTTGAGGTTTCCTATATGATTCTGATGTTTTTACATATCGGAAAATTGAATCGCTTTATCATATTTCTGTTTCGAAGAGCTTGAACCCAATTTACTCATGAAATTGGAAATTTGGAATCATTGTCTTTGTTGCGTAACTTCATTCATGGGAATAAGAAGAGAATCTCGCAGTGACGGAAGATCTTGTTTGCGAAATGTAGAGAAATTTGTTTGTATATCTCTATATATCTATACTATTAAATCATATTTGTTGCTAGCCTAGATAGACAATAACAGTTTCAATTGAACCGGTAAACTTACCAATCAAATTGAACCGGTCCATGAACCAACCAAATAATGAAACCGGTCGTCTTCTGATTCAATTTGTGTTACTCTCTGAACAATAGTAGAAAGCTCACACATTTTTCCACTCCACTCCAGTGCTCCACTCCTTTAGTTTTTTATAGATTGAAAAGGAAATTAACAAAATCAGACGAAACAAAAATGTTGGCTAGGGTTTGGAGATTGGGATCTTCTTCTTCTTCTCCTTATTCTGCTTTTGCTGGATTGACCAGTACAAGGTTGATTCATCATCCAGCCGCCGAGAAAGGTACGGATGGAAAAAGTCTAGTTTCTTTGAAAGAAGCAATTTTAGGAGGAGAGAGTTTGAAATTGAGAAGTGATTCTCATGATAATATCAAAAGCTTAGATGTTGCGATTAATTTGTTCGATGAAATGGTTCAGTCTCGTCGTCGCTATTCAGTAATTGATTTCAACAAAGTAATAGGTGTCATCCTGAAGATGAATCGACCCGACGTTGTGATTTCTCTTTATCGGAAGATGGAAATGCGGCGGATTCCGTTTGATATCTACAGCTTCAATATTCTGATAAAATGTTTCTGCAGCTGCTCCAAGCTTTCCTTTGCTTTGTCTACGTTTGGAAAGCTCACCAAACTTGGTTTCCAGCCTGATGTCGTTACGTTTAACACACTGCTCCACGGGTTATGTCTCGAAGATAGGATCTCTGAAGCCATAGTTTTGTTTGATCAAATGCTTGAAACGGGATACGCACCCAATGTCATAACGTTCAACACAGTGGTGAATGGTCTTTGCCGCGATGGTCGAATGTTGGAAGCAGTAGCTCTGGCTGATCGGATGGTGGTAGAACATGGTCATCAACCTACCGAAGTTAATTACGGAACAATTGTGAACGGATTGTGTAAGATGGGCGACACTGTCTCGGCCTTGAATCTGCTTAGGAAGATGGAGAAAAGCCACATCGAAGCCCATGCTGCAATCTACAATGCAATCATTGATCGTCTTTGCAAAGATGGACGTCTTGTTGATGCTCAAAATCTTTTTATTGAAATGCGCGAGAAAGGAATTTATCCCAATGTAGTTACCTACAACTGCATGATAGACGCTTTTTGTAACAATGGTAGATGGATTGATGCTGAACGATTGCTGCGTGATATGATTAAAAGGGAAATCAGTCCTGATGTTGTAACTTTCAATTCATTAATCAGTGCATTTGTCAAAGAAGTGAAGTTCTCTGAGGCTGAAGATTTATACGAGGAGATGCTCCACAGAGGTATAGTCCCAAATGCTATCACCTATAACTCAATGATCGATGGATTCTGCAAGAAAAACCGCTTAGATGAGGCGAAGCAGATGTTTGATTCGATGGCTAGCAAGGGCTGCTCTCCAGACGTAGTGACATTTAATACACTTATAGACGGATGCTGTAGGACTAAGAGGATAGATGATGGAATGGATCTTCTCCATGAGATGACTAGAAGACGAATAGTTGCAGATACAGTTACTTTCAACACTCTTATTCACGGGTTCTTTCAAGTGGGTGATCTTAATGGCGTCTTAGACATTTTCCAAGAGATGACTTCCACTGATGTGCGTCCTAATATCGTAACTCTTAACACTTTGCTAGACGGTCTCTGCAATAATGGGAAACTAGAAAAGGCACTGACAATATTCGAGGTAATGCAGAAGAGTAAGATGGATCTTGATACTAGTCACGCCTTTACTGGTGTGGAACCTGATGTTCAAACTTACAGTATACTGATCAGCGCATTTGTCAAAGAAAGGAAATTCTCTGAGGCTGAAGAATTATATGAAAAGATGCTCCATAGAGGTATAGTCCCCGATACTATCACCTATAACTCAATGATCAATGGGTTCTGCAAGCAGAACCGCCTAGATGAGGCAAAACAGATGTTTGATTTAATGGTTAGCAATGGCTGCTCTTCAGACGTAGTGACATATAATACACTTATAGATGGATGCTGTAGGACTAAGAGGGTAGATGATGGAATGGATCTTCTCCATGAGATGTCTAGAAGACAAATAGTTGCTAATACAGTTACTTACAACACTCTTATTCATGGGTTATGCCAAGTGGGCGATCTTAATGCCGCTCAAGACCTTTTCCTCAATATGAATTCTCATGGTGTGTGCCCTGATATCTTAACTTATAACATTTTGCTGGATGGTCTCTGCGACAATGGGAAACTGAAAAAGGCATTGGAAATGTTTGAGGTTATGCTGAAGAATAAGATTGATGTTGATATTGTTAGTTATAGCATCATCATCCATGGAATGTGCAAGGGTAGTAAGGTGGACGAGGCATGGGACTTATTTTGTAGTCTCCCCGTCGATGGTGTGGAGCCTGATGTTCAAACATACAACATAATGATACATGGATTTTGTGGAAAAGGTGCAATTTCTGAAGCAAATGCGCTATTCCAGAAAATGAAGGACGATGATTATGTACCAGATGGCTGTACATACAATACACTAATCAGAGGACATCTTAGAGCTAAGGAAACTGAGGCATCAGCTGAACTTATCAAGGAAATGCGAAGCAAGGGGTTCTGTGCAGATGCATACACCAAGAGAATGGTAGATGATATGATATCTGCTGGCAGATTGGACAAGAGCTTTGTGGATATGCTATTTTAGTGTTTGGTGTGGTGTTTCTTGTGGCAAGAAATCTGTCTTAATCTTGTTCCTTTTATGGTATGTCCTACTCACTTTTGTCTCGTTACTTGTGTTCATTTCGGATGTTTGATGCTATCTGTGACATGTACTAGGATTTTGCAGAGGTTTGAGCTTCTTAAGATTTGCAAGAAGCTTCTCGAGGAACGAAACGAGGGTGTGTCTGAAGAATAATAAACGTTGTTAGTAGATCGCTTCTTGTCTTGTCCTTCTCTAGATTACATGTAATCTCAAAACTGAATCCAGATATTATCTCATATTTGTTTTCGAATAACTTGGCTGCTTGTACTCAAAGTTTGAGGTTTAACTTATGAAAATGGAATCATTCTGTCTCGCAGTGAAGTAGACCTTGTATTGAAATTGTAGAGATATCTTTGAATTACTTGAAAAATTATTTAAAAAGAGCAAAAATCTCTCTTCCCATTGCAGATTTGGATGTATGTATTAAGTAACAACAATGCAGCTGAAGAGAGCAAAACATAGGGTCTGTAATCTCTCAGACACGAACTCTTTTGACAAATTATAAACTGTGTGCAAGCACAAAAGCAGAAATTGTGAGTGAAACAATTTTAAAAGCTCATTACCAAAAAATAAAAAATAAAAAACATGCCTACCAAAACTATGCATGGGAGTTTTGATCAAAGTCAAATCGGTAAAATGGTGGTGAGTATTATTCTAAATTCTAATGGTGATACTTCTCGGTTTTGCAGTTATTTGCCGTTACAAGAATAAGCAAGACAAGAAGGGGCGATGAAATGCATTTATTCTTTGGTTAGTAACCTTTTGATATATACTATTACCATCAGTGTTGGAATTGCTGATAGACTGCATCTTCTGAGAGCGATAGCATAAGAACTTTTTTTCGAGAATAGCAATAATGCTGCTTGTTGCTTATGCTCCATGTTAACCTTTTTTCAATTCTTGGAAGAGAAATGTTTGTATGTGATGGTACTGAATCTTTTTGGAAAACAGGTTTTATTTTCAATAAGTTTTAAGCCAATTTCAACACTACCAAAGTCTCTCTCTCTCATTCTCTTAACATTGTGAGAAGTGTTAAACAAGCCATAAGCAAATTACCCATTAAAAATAAAAACGTGAAGATATAAAATTTTATCCACCAGATTTACTCTAACACCTTGGATAACATTACACAGGTTGATCAGCAAAGGCGCAAATCTAATGGTTTTGAGGGCAAAATCTACTAAGAGAATCGAAAACATGTTGATGTCTTTAAACATCTAAATAGAAAGAAAAAAAGAGCAAAATGCAAAAGAAGCCCACATCATTTTGCCAACTTGAAAAACCCTTTATAGTTCCCTCTATATTTTTTTTCGGCAGTTCCCTATTTCATTTCTTTGATCGTCCCGAAAGAAGAGAAGAAAAAAAGATGAAAAAGCTTAGGAGAGATTTTGGTGAGTTGCTTCGTTCCTTTTATAATTTTGTTTTTAGAGAATTTCAAATTGAATGAAAGTTACGATCTAGTTTCTGAATCGTTTTGTTGAAGCTGAAGAAGAAGCAACTCGCGGAGTGAAAAGGTTTCATGATCTGTTTCAGCCTATTGTGGGTAAGTCGTTGCTTAGAAGTTATGGCAATGCAGAAGCGAGAGGCCAGACTGGATCACGTCTGCCTTCTTTGGTGCATAGAGAAATACATGCACTGACCTCATTTTCCCCTTACATTCTAAGGTATTAAATTTGTGAATTGTTTTTCTTCAATCTTCAATGTTCTCTCTCATGTTACATACAAAGAGTCGTCTTCATTTTTGTTGTTTTTGCAGGAAGGATTTTGCAAAGAAGGAGCTGAAAGAGGAGGTTGTGCGACTAGGAGTTGAGCTCTCGCTATATATGGCTGAGTCCATGTTCTTGCTGTGTGATGACATTCGTAGTATGTTATGGTTCTGCAACAAGTTATGGAGAGATGCAATAAAGGACTTGAATCGTGATTGTCCCGTGCTACAAAGGCTGTTTCGTGTTCAACACTATGTCTACGCAAAATATATCCAACCCAAGAATGGTGTGTATGTAAATGATGGCAAGAATTTCCGTCCACTGGGAACTGACCAGAACGACTTGGGAGAACTTTTACGCTGCACATAAAGATCTGGACCTTGTTTCTTCGATTCTCAGAGAAGGCAAAGAAGAAAGCTGTTCAGATTGCAGAGAGTTTACGTCTAGCATTGAAGAAACGCTGAAGAAGATAGATGACAAACTGAGCTCTGCAAAGGCTGTTGCTGAGGAGAATGGGTTTGCGAGGGAAGCCATGGAGTCTGACATTATGGGAATCTGGAAGTCTCTCTTTTACAAACATACCTTCGATGCATGGGCTCTGGAAATGATCAGGCGAGGGGTTATCCACGACATGTTTGAGCCTCTCATGAGAGAGCTATTAGCTGCATCAGCAACACATTAGGCTAAAGACTATTTTCTTCTTGCTTTTTTTTTCTCGTATCTTATCGGATTAGACAATCTTGGATGTAATAATGCACTTTAGATCACCCATTTTGCTCAACAATAGGATAAAACCGAACCGGTTTATTGCTTGACAAGCCAAACCGGTTTTCGATAAACATTAGATTTAAGCAGTGTCAAGAGCCAAAAATCATTTCTTTAGAGCAAGTAGTTCCTTTGGAAAAAGTTTGCTATAATGAATAGAACAGCCTTCATGTTCAATACGAGCCTACTTCTTGAAACAGAGGAGAAAGCTAGCAATTCATATATGCATGGAAAAGATCTTGTTTTGTTTTAAATCATTCAATCAGAGAGAGAACATATCTAGTGTATCAATAAGAGCTGAATCCAAATCTCTGAACAAAGAACATCATTTTTTATTTACTTGTCCTTTAAACTATATGAAGCGAAGATAAAAGGACATAAAAGTTAACAAAATATTTAGATTTTGTATGAAACGAATATGGACTTGTTCTATACAATTTTGGAAGATAAGATCCGATGCAAAGAAGACATCAAGTGTCAACACAAACAATCATTTGGAATTTCCGTAGTTTTTACCAAAAATGATGACTATAATCAGAATAAACAATCAAAATCCAAATAAAAGAATTAGAAAAGCCTCAAGTCATTTAGTTGAATATCTTTTTTTTTTATCCTTTCAAAGTTCATTCTAAATTTATTTAAAGAATGCCACTAGCTCCTCCTCTAAGGCCTTAACAAGTAATGTCTCCCTATACATCAACTCTTTGACCTGTATCCTGAAAAACCAAATCCGTTTGCCTAGTTACACTAAAAATCAGGCTCTAAACACAGATATAAAGTAAATGCTTGCTTATATACAACTGAGAATTTCATTTAGGATCATTAGTGTGAGTTTGCTCATGAGTCATCTTATCTTCTTGATTGGCCTCAGGTGCTAAAAGACCGACAATTAGCACTTCATCTTCAGCAAAACCACTCAACAGAAGGCGGTGAAGACTCGAGATTCAGATTCATCACTAGGGGCTGGAGTAAGATTTGTGATGGATTTGATTTAGTAGCTAATTGTGTAACTATGCATATGATGTCCTTTTATTCTTCTATGTAAACCTAATTAGCCATAGTTAAGTATCTTTTAGTGCTAAACTTAATCCTATCACGTAAAATTTGAGGTTTCCTATATGATTCTGATGTTTTTTACATATCGGTGAAAATCGCTGGATTATGGCCCGTTATGTAACGCATGCATATGATATTATTACCTTTTTGTCAACTTCTTTGGTAATCGCTAAAAATAGATAACTAAAAACGGATACTCAATACAGTTTGATGAGGGATACGTAGTGTTAACGTAAAAAGCTTATAAATTTTTCAAATCCAATACCAAGGGCACTTTAATTAGTCACTTCCATGCATGTTTGTGGAAACTTTCGCTGACTCAAATCAGAAACATGTTACTTATATAGTCTGAAATTTTGACATCAAAAACATACCAGGCATATACTTTACACATTTATTTTCTTACAAAATAAACATTAAACCCAATAGAAACTAAAAGATATTTAACAAAAAAAAACGATATAAACTGAAAGATAATATATTTGGGGTTTTGGAAACACAAGTTAAACAACACAGGGCACGTCACACAAAATAAGAGAAAGACAAATAAAAGTCAGTTGTTACAATCCTTAAATCATCACTAGATTTGATCATAAACCCATCAGTGCTAACAACGTAGCTGTCATGATTGCAATACACGTTCTCCCATATATATTGTTTCCTGTGAAACCAAATAAGAAGAGAGCAAAAACATATATTGACTTTGGGTTTCACTTGATCTGATGGATATTTCACTATAATTGAATTTGAAGTTTTTAACAAGCTTTTTACTTAAGCTCTGAGTTCTGCTCTACAACAAAGGGGATTAATGATGACAAATAAACGGGTGGAAAACTTAATGCAACTGTGAAGACAAAATCTTAAACAAAGATAATAATTAAAATATTAGAAATATCATTGATAAAGGCTTTTAATTTAAAAAAGAGAAGAAGATATATACTCATCTTTTGTAAAGCAAAGACTCACTACGTTTGGTTGGAAACCGGAGATGTTATAACGTACGAGACATTTAGGATAGAAGATCTGAGCTCAAAGAACCTGGCTATTGCTGCAACACCCGAAGAGTTCTTGGACCGCACGTCTCAAGCAGGAGGTGCAGTTTCTTGGATCAAGATCAGGACTACACTGGACCATTGCCTCTAAATCATATGAAGTCACACGTTCTTGATCCTCCACAAAATATGGAATCGACGAAGACAAGGATGTTCTGAGGATAAGATCTTTCATTTTTCCATGCATTATTCGGTTGAGCAATTGTGTAGAGTCCACAGAAGGGATCAGAGAGTGTACAGAGGCACTAGGTGTATCCACAAGGAGCGTAAAGAAAGCAAGATCCGAGTACCGAACCATACACTCGTCATAGAATATGAAAGATTCTTTGTTATAAGTGCAGTTTTTAGCGATTTCTAGCGTTGCTCTATGTACACAGTCAGAACAAGAAGTTTTGTTGATGTCTCCTCTGCAAAGGAACATCCCATAGACTGTGTTTGGGCTAAGACCAGCCGTGGCGTTGGAATAGCTTCCAAGGGAGGATCGGTCACGTAGAGCGGAGAGGATCGCGGCGCGGTTTGATCCATAAGGGCTGGTTCTAGTGAACTCGCTTTCATTGCAGAAGGTGGACATGTGATAAGGTCGGGACATGATTCTGAAAGATAAGAGAGAGAAAAAGATACAAAACAGAGCAGACGCGGCAGAGAAAGTCATATTGGTGTGATGATAGAATAGAACAGAACACGCTATGTAAAGAAAGAATAGCTTGTTTTATAAAAAAAAAACATTCAAATCAGTAATGTCCTCATATAAATGGTAGACCAATTCAGAGGAAACTTTGAATTCGATTTTCTTCTTATATAAAATACTAATTATCTTTGCTGGCTTTTCATGATTAGATAAAGCCAAAGGCAAAAGATACAGTTGACATATTGGTTGTCTTTTGTGAAAGATCTGAAGCAAAACATAAGATTTGTTCTTACAGTTTTGTTTTTTTTGAAAGACTGTTTTCTTCTCGCTTTTTTCTCTATCTTATCAGATTAGACTATCTTTTAAATTAATGTAATAATTATGCACTTTAGATTTCACATTTCGTGGAACAATTGTTACCCTTTTTATCTTCTAAGTTTGATGATCAGAAGCCTAATACCGTATTGTGTTCGAAATCCAACAATCTGAATTTATTTCTTGACAAGCCAAACCGGTTTTTGATAACATTAGATTTTTGATTAAGAGCCAAAATGATTCAGATAATTTCTTTAGAGCAGCCTTCATGAAGGGTAAAAATTGGAAATAACATTTTATCTTATTTTCTGATTTGAACATCGATAATGTTACCACAACAAAAACAAATAAATTATTAGTGTTAACTTTTCTTGAAATGGTGAACTCTGAACCCTAAGTTTGGATTATTTTAGACAAGAGCTCAACAAATCACACGTAACACTTATCATAGGAACATGAATAGTCGTTAAGCAAAAGAAGAAGAAAAGAAGCATGAACAGTCTATACAATCCTTACATCATGAGATTTGATCATAGACCTACAAGTGCTAATGCCGAAGCTGTTATGACAACAATAAAAGTACTCTCAAATATTTTGTTTCCTGCAAAAATAATAAAGAGTAAAACATGATATTAAGTTATTAACAATATGGCCGTCTGTATATGCCAGATTATATAAAAAATCTAATTTTCTTGGGGTGCAAAATTTAAATATTCTATGCTAACCTTCTATAAAACCAAGACTCGGGACGACGTCGTTCGGTGGCAAAGAGGATGTGTTAAACCTGACGAGACATTTAGGAAGGAAGTTGAGAGCCGAACGAGACTGGCTGCAACAGTCCAAGATTCCTTGGACAGCAAGTCTCAAGCATACGGTGCAGTTTCCTGGATCAAGATCAGGACTACACTGGACCAATGTGTCTACCGCATATGAGCTACCAAACTCATTCACATGCTGTTTATCCATCACGAAATATGGTTCCGGCCACAAAATCGTCGATGCTGCTCTTGTGATAAGTTTGTTCATCTTACCAGGAAGTTTTTCTCCGAACCGACTCGTAATAGGAAAATTACTGGTAGAGGGTAATAAGGCGTTTGGTCCTTGTAGTTCTTGGAGTCCAAAGAAGGAATAATCCGAGTAACGAACCATACACTGTTCATAAAACACGAAAGCTTCTTTTTGAGAAGTGCAGCTTCTAGAGATTTCTGTAACTGCGTTCCGGACACAGATTCTACAGGTTGATTTGGTGATGTCTACTCTACAATGGTACATACCATAGACTGTATCGGGGCTAAGACCCTTCGTGACGCTGAGATAGGGTGGTGTGGTGGAGGAAGTGGTCCGGAGATACTTGAGAGCGGATCTACGGTTTGTATCATAAGAACTGTCTTCTGTGAAATTTTCAGATCGGTTGTTGCAAGAGGTGAGCAAGTGATTAACTCGAGGCTGGGAGATGGTTTGGAGAGATGAGAAAGAGAAGAAGAAGAAGAAGAAGAACCAACATAGAGCCGAAGAAAATGAAATGACTCTTGCCATTTTTGTATATTCGAATCTCTTGTTTATTATGTAGACAGAAACAAAGTACAGAGCAGTTCAGAATTTATAGAAGGATATATGTATATTTTGAAACAATCAATTATAATGCTCAAACATAGCGTCTTATACCAATTCAGAGGGAGAACATCTGAACATGTTATGTTGACATAAATACTCATTTTTTCATTTTCAAGTTAATGTGATGATTTTATTAATGACAATTAATGAAGGCTTGAAGCCATATATTCTTGTACAGAAAATATCATCTTTCATTTATTTTCTTTAAACCAATTAAAATAAGACAAAAAAAACATATAGTTAACACACAATTATCGGTTTTGTTAGCGTATAAAGCAATATAATACATACAATTGTTCAGTAGCTCTATATCATTGTGGAAGACACGATTTTGGTGCGGTATAGAGAAGAGGAGAAACAACTTAGTCTCCATACCTTCAATGAAACAAAGGAAGCTTCAAGGTCCAACTGTCCAAGTTTCGACTTTTTCCCTTTCATTTATTTGTTAATTCGTTTTTTTTTTAGCACTTTTGTCAGAAAGGATTCTTTCCAAAAAGAGTAGTTATTTAAACGTGGGGATAATAAAGTATTTCTATACTTTAAAAAGTGAAAAATAAAGGGAATGATATAAGCATAGAAGAAAATGTATTAGATGACTTTTATTTTGAATTTTCTGGTCCATATTTTCGAAAGTTGTACTTAATTTAGTACTAACTAAAACTGTTGACAATTAGCAAAAAAAAAAGTGTAAAATGTCAAAGATATCATCGATTCAATACATGCGTAGAGCGTAGCTCTATAATCCTCTTGATTGATGTCCACTTGCAAATTGCAATGTCTAACAATTCGCACCGATCAGACGATCAAGTGGCTATTCTTAACAACAACAAAAATTGTTGAAGAAGACTACCTTAAACACTGAAAAACTATTTAACCTTATTTGTTGCCTGGACTTTTTACTGCTGATACGGCTAGCTACCATTCTCATCATCACGTTCCCAGATGGCGGATTTAGAAACTTTTTTTTTTTTTTTCAAAGTACTTTTAGTTGAAAACATATTTAATAAAAGAGACTTTTTTATAAACTCATTAAAATAACATATTAAATCAAATTTATCTAAGATTTATTCAATAAAAATAAAAAATAGGGGGCACGTGACCCAGTACCACACACCTACGTCCGCCCCTCCCAGCCACGCTATATCCAGACGTGTATGGCAGCAGCAACAACAGTTTGGTTCACGTCGTGATACACAATCTTCAAAACTAAATATTTGTATTTTTTTTTCTCTAGAATTTTATTTTCCTATCAGCAGTTGATGTTTTGAATTTGTTAAAGTCTGAACACCAAATTGTATATGTGCTAGTAATCAATTAGGTATGCAGATTTTTCTTTTCTTTTTGGTTTTAAAAGTAGGTATATATAGGTGTTCAGTTAAATTAATTTCCAGTCCAGTCCATGCATACAGCCCCATTTTTATTTCGCCAATCCATCCAATTAAATTAAACGTCAGCCAAACACAATGAAAAGCATAGTGAATTTCATATATTCAGGGAACTTTTTTTATTAACGAGAATTAACACTTCAAATGTCTCAACAAAAAATAATACATCGAAGGTGTCACACATATTCGTGGAATGAAAATATAAATCTATCTTCATTCTTCAGAATCATTGGATTCGATCATAAACCCACAAGTGCTAACACCAAAGTTGTCATGACAGTAATGAACATTCGCCCAAACATTTCGTTTCCTGCAATACATAAAAACAAGCCAGACATATATGTCAATGCATGCTTCAGCTGCTAATTTTATTATCTTCTCTTGATATAGTTGGATTTTATAATGAGAAAATCATTAATTATCTCAGTTTTTTGTCAACACATATCTCAATTATAATATGCAAAATATCTCTGTTTACTTCCAATTTTTTTTTTATTTCTAACAATAATATAATCAATCTATTTGCTATGACTATGTCATATCAAATTTTCTTTTGTTTTTACGTTTACATATATATTACAATATTTTTCTAAATATATATTTAAATTTTTTAACATTTTTTCTACTCGTTCCCATAATTTTTTTTTTTGGAAAATTGTAATTAAACGCAATACAGAAAACCGAATTTCTTTCTTTTCAGGTTTCTCAGTTAACAGATAAATTTTGATTAAATAATGGGAAAACGAGGTATGTTGCTCACCTTTGTATATTAACGTGTAAACGTAAACAAAATTTAAAACCATCAAGGCCACTGAATTATGCTCACCTTTCATAACGCTCATAGAAGATGAACCGCTCTGTGAACCAGTTGTGTCATATTTCAAAAGACATTTGGGAAGAAAGATGTGAGCCCAACGAGCATTGTTACAACACTCTGTCATTTCTTTGACCGCAAGTCTCAAGCAGAGGCCGCAGTTTTTTGGATCAAGATCAGGACTACACTGAACCATTGTATCTAACCAATACGATTCCAATTGGTTCACTTGTTTTCTATCCTTGATGTAATACGGCGTCGAAGAAGACAAAGAAGACTTTGATGCTGTGAGGATAATTAGCTGTTCGACCTTATCGGATAGCACGAGCCGGAACGCAAACAAAAGAGAAGTAAAAGAAACATTAGAATATTTAGCGACGTAAGGCGCGGAGTCGACTAAGACCAAGAAAGAAATGTCCGAGTATCGAACCATACACTCTTCATAGTATATTATGGCTTCTTTTTGATAAGTGCAATTTTTAGCGACTTCTTGGGTTGCGGTTTTGACACAGACTGAACAAGATGTTTTGGTGATGTCTCCTCTACAGAGGAACATGCCATGGACTGTGTCGGGGCTAAGACCGATTGTGACATTGGAATATGTTCCGAGGGAGGAAAGGTCTCGGAGAGAAGAAAGTAGGGTTTCACGGTTTGACTTGTATGAGCTGGTCTGTGTGAAGTTGTCGGATAACTGGTTGCAGAAAGTGTGCATGTGTAGAGGTTGGGACATAGTTTGGTGGGTTAACAGAGAGAAGAAGAAGAGGCAAAACGGAACAGCAGAGAATCTAATGAAAATTTTCATTTTCTTGTTCTTTCTTGTGTATCAAGATAGATTAAAACAGAGGAGAAAGCTAGCAATATATAGGGGAAAGTTCTTGTCTTATTTTATTTAATTCAAATATGTAGTGTCTTATACCAAATCAGAGGGAGAACATATCTAGTATCAGGTGAATAATCAGTTAATTTCATCAATAAGAGTTGAATGGAAAAAAAAAAATCTCAAAGAAAATAAGATCGAGTTGAATCCAGATTTCTTTACATTAAAATATCATCTTTTAAATACTTGTTCTTTTTTTGTAACAAGGGTTATATATACTTGTTCTTTAAACACAATATTTAGCTTTGTTAGCGTATGAGGTTGAACATGGACTTGTTCTGAACAATTTTGGAAGACAAGATCTGATGCAAAGAAACAATCAAGAGTCAACACAAATTAACAGTCATTTGGAAGTTCGATCCATAGTATCTACACACAAAAAATGAAACAAGAAAACCCAAATAAAATAGTTATAAAAGTCATTAATTTAGTTGAAGATCTTTAAATCTTTTCATACTTTGTTTTAGAAATTATTTAAAGGGGTTATTTTATAGGCATTTTGAGTTAAAACGGTTCAAGGGCTAACTAATAGCTAAAAGTATCGTAGTTATAGAGATCTCCAAAAGATCATATATAGTTTAATTATATTTATACTACGTACAACATAATCTGATATTTTTAAATTTTATGGATAAATTTATTCGTTTGTTTTATTTTGTTTGGTGCTCTAACGTCTTATATCCTGAACAATAATTTATACGTCTGAACCATAATCCAAAAATACTTCAGAAATCCTCTTTTTAACTCTAGAAATTAAAGTGAAAAGGATTTTTTTTTTTTGGATGTGGATATAATCCATATCAATTGCCTTAAGTTCCACGACAACGAACCGCATGGTCATGCAATTTTCGTTGACTTCGATCAAGAAGCCACGGAAGGATCTTAGATTAGTTTTACCATCTTTGGCTAGTTTTAATAATTTTAAAAGAGGGTAACTATAATAGCCTTCAAAAATCGTGAAATTATTTTAAATAACCTTCAAAATTTTTAATTATTAGAATAACCTACGGTACATATTCTACCATTTTGACATTTGTTGAGAAAAAACGTAATTACAAAACTGCCATTATTATTTATAATCCACATCAACAAAAGTTTGATTTATTTACGAAAAAACCAACACGCTCAAATATACAAGTTTATCAATATTTCACGGTAGACTTATAATTTTTTGGTAGACTTATATTTGAAACCGTAAATTTGTTTTGGTTCAGTAGATTTATTCGAAAACGATAGATTTGTTTTGAAGTCGATAAACTTATTTTGATAGATTTATTCTTATGTTAAGTAGAGATGTTAGTGGTCAGTAGACTTATTAAATTTCTAGTAGACTTGTTTATAATGAAGATAGATTTGATACGATCTGGTAGATTTTTTTCGACAAAGTTAACTTTGGTTGACTTTTTGGTAGACAGTATACAGGATTTGTAGATTTATCCTATTTGACAGTAGATTTATTTTCCTCTGAGACAGACTTTTGTGTAATAATAATAGATTTATCGTTGGATGGTTTGAGTCTCAATAATTTTTGTCATAATGGTAGATTTATTTTTAATGACGGTAGATTAATAATGCTTTGGTAGATTTAATAGTGTGTTGGTAGATTTATCTTCGTATTGGTAGATTTATTGTTGAAATGGTAGATTTGTTAGTAGACACGGTAGACTTAATGAATGATAAAATACAGTTACTATATTTTTATGTGTAGTAGACTTATTTGAAGAGACAGTAGATTTATTAACAATAGACAGATTTGTACAAAACTTGGTAGATTTATTAATAATGACAGTAGATTTATAAAAAATTTTGAAAAACACAAAATTGGTAGATTTATCGTAAATTGGTAGATTTAATTATAAATAGGTATATATATATGATATTGGTAGATTTATCTGAAATTGATAGATTTTTTATTTATTAATGATGGTAGATTTATTGAAACTACGGAATGTCAAATGACAATTTTACCCTAAAAAAAGTTTATATTTGCAAAAAAAATCAGGCACCCATCATGAAGATGGTCGTCACAGGACTAAGTATGACAAAAATTATTGTTTGGTGGTAGATTTATTGTAATGATGGTAGATTTAGTTTAATATATGAATTTTTTGAAGTACTAAAATGTCAATAACAAATGAAAAGTTGTATTATTACTTTAATCTATATTGAACCATTTAGAATATTTGGTTATTTGCTAGACAATGCTTGATTGTGTTAGAAATGACAAATGGTTTTTCTTTTTATTTGTGCTTGTTTGTTTTCTTTTTTAGCATATAAAATGAATATGTATTTTAATTTGTTTTATATTATTGGGTTGTATCATATGTTTTTAGTTTATATCTCATTCATTTTGATTATACATACTGTTGATACTGTGTATCACACAAAGAGTTTTTATTGGTTTATTGATGTTATAGCTGAACTCAAGATGAGCTGCCTACGTATCCTTGAGAAGGGATCAAGCCATTCGTAGTTCTGTTATTAAAGTTGTGTGTGATCTTTGAAAGAAGAGGAGTCTCTTCTATTTATAGGGCTTTGAAATCGGTCTCTCTCGACGATTTCCTTTTTCTATTTGGATTTGAATTCGAGAATATTTCTTTTTCTTGGATAATATTAAGGAAATATTCCGTAAAGTTTAGATGTTAATGCCGATATTGTAAATCGGGTTTTAGAAGACCATAAGCTATTAATGGGCCGAATATCTTTTGGATATGAACCATCGTAAATCGGGATCAATTGGGCCGATTTCGGTTCATACCGGACTAAACCGGGGGTGCGGAGTACACCACCAACACATACTAAGTAATTATTAAATTATTATTTAAAAAGAAATTTACTATAATTTCGAATAAATCTATCAAATCCTAAATTAAATTTACCATTAAATAAACAAATCTACCACTATTCAAGCAAACAAATCTACAAATATTTTTTTGATAAACAAATCTCCATTTCCGTGCCAGTAACTCACTCCCCTTCCATCATATTGTTTATCTTTTGATCCACCATTCGTCGTCATTCACCTACTAGAGAAGAAGATAAATACACAAAATCCAAAATAAATCTATCATTATTTCAAAAATAAATCTACCATTATATCAAAAATAAATCTATCATTATATCAAAAATAAATCTACTGTATACTAAACCTATACAAAAATAAATCTTTCATCATTTGACAACAAATCTACCACTACTAGGAAAATAAATCTACAATTAATGAAAATCTACGAATAAGTCTACCATCATTGGCGGAATTTCGTCGAACAATTGGTGGGCATATCTCTTGAATCATCACTTTAGACGGTGATTGCCCTAAAAAATTCAGCGGCGGTGTTTAAAGTTTTCTTGGCGGTTAAAAAAGACGAAAAGACAAAAAGAAGAAGACAAAATAAGAAAACAAAAAAAAAATAAAGAAGAAAACGAAACGGAGAAGATGAAGAGATAAAGGAGAATGGAGATACCTTATTTACTTCAAGCCGGAATCGATGGCCTTAAAACTAGAACAGTTATACAATCTTGCCGGAGAAGAAGACGGCTTCGAAATCGGAACCACAATCGCGGCAAAGATTTGAGAGGTTTTTTAAAAGAGACACAATTAGGGTTTTTAACCCTTTTGTTTATGTATTTCTAATTTTATTTATTTATTTATTTAATTTTTTTGTTTATTATATAGATAAATATAAAAAGGAAAAATCATAAAATTTAAATATAATGGCATTTTTGTTATAAAAACGAAAACATAAATTTTAATGTCTTTAACCAATTTATTAAAATTAGTTTAATTTTTCAAATTTGGGGTAGAGTTATTCTAGTAAAGAGGCAACTTTTGAAGGTTGTTCTAGTAATTATCTCTAGTTTTAATATTCGTAAAATTTGAATAGTAGTACATGAAATATTACTATTTCGGACTCTTTCGTTCACTTCTCCTGTATGTTTCTTTTCTTCTCTATAAGCAAAGAAAGTAAAATATTTGTAAACCGAATTCTTCCACAGTGGGAAATCAAAGTCGGGATAATAAAATAAATCTTAAACTTTAAAAACAGAGATTAATAACCATGTCAAAGATAATGTATTAGATGACTTTCATTTCGAATTTCCAAATTGTTGACTAGTTTAAGAAACGAAAAGTGTTGACAAAATATCAACCTTAAAATACTTCAATTGGGACCACTAGGATCAACTATAATTCTAAGCAACTAACAATAAATAGCACTGAGAACATACTAACAATTATTAATTTGACCCAGCTATGCGAATATTTATGTACATCTTTCGCTGTAAACTGATAAATGATAACCCTAAGAACAAGTTTGTACCTTTTCGTTTCTTCTTAATTTGACTTTCAATTTCTTGATAAATCATATATGATGACCCCGTCAAATTTTTTTATAAGAATAATACAATTTATGTTTTAGCAGTTTAACCACTAGATTTGGTGTATCATGTTTTAACAATGCTTAGTAAAAAAATTGAAAATAAGATTTCGTGATACAGTCGTTGTGAATGAATCAATCTAGACATTAATGTTTATGTACAGTGTTAATTAGCTGTAGCAAAAAGTATTTAAATGGAAAAATTGAATATATCATAATTTCTTCTCCTTTTTACTGATCAATCCACACAAACAGTATAATCAACATAATTTGTTTTTGACATTATATACATTTTTGTGATTTTGGATCACGAACATAACACATCAAATAGATTGAAGGAATACCACTTATTACACATCAATATTTACCATCCACAAATCATCAAATGTGATCACAAATCCACAAATGCAAACACCAAAGCCGCCATTGTAACAACAATTCTCCCAAATATTTCGTTTCCTGCCAGAAAAGTAAAGAAAGCCAAAAGAAACAAACTCAGAGCCAAGTCTATCAATAATAAGTTTAATCACATTATATAATAATTTTTTGAATAAAATCGGATGTTTTATCGAAGAATCTCCTTTATCTCTCTATGCAGTATGATCAAAAAGTATTACATAAAAATAAGTAATGTAATGATATACCTTTTATAACGTTAAAAGAAAACGATCCACTAAGACTTGGAACGTTCTGTGGCGGCGTGAAAAGCAGTGGCGGCGGTGGTGGTTGAGGTGTTTGCGATGAAGATGGAGGTGGCGAAAATTGAGCCGGGATGGTAGAGGCGGCGGAGATAGAGGCGGAGGAGATGACGGAGACGACGTTGGAGAAGGCAAAACAGAGGTTTTATACCTCAAAAGACATTTTGGAGTAAAGACAAGAGCCGAAGTTGGTAAACCGCAACAAGTTGAAACTCTTAAGAACGCAAATCTGAGACAAACAGTATTAGACTGGTTAACTTAAATTACGGTTTAGCTGGTTTACTCTGCTGGTTTAAGTTTCCTTTAGCTTTGACCAGTATATATATGTAAACACTGTACATTGTTTGAGGAATCACTGAGAAATATCTTCATTCTCTTTCTTGTTCGTGAGCTGAATTCGAAGTCGTGATATGGTATCAGAGCATAATCTGTTCATCCCTTCGATTTCATTCCTCTCGATCTCAATTCATGAGTGCGTCAGCGATCTGTGTTCATTCGTGATTTCTGCATTTCGCTTTTCTTGTTCTTTGTTGAAATCGTTCGAACGATCTTCATCTTCTTCTTTGATCTTTGATTTTTCCCTTTTTCAGAAGTTTTCTTTCACAATTTGTGATGTCTGCGAGCTCCGGTTCAAATCCTCAAGCTCAGATTGTCCTTCCACCGATCTTTACGAAAATCCGTACTATCTTCATAGCAACGATCACGCGGGGCTTGCACTGATGTCAAATCGACTCACGAGTGGCGCAGATTTCCATTCTTGACTGCGATCTGTTCGTCTCGCTCTCAATGTTAGAAACAAACTCCGCTTCGTCAATGGTACGATTCCTAAACCTCCAGATGGTGATGTGAACTCTGGATCTTGGTCACGATGTAATGACATGGTCTCTACCTGGTTATTGAATTCGGTTGCGAAGAACATTAGTGCTAGTTTGCTTTTCATGCCTACTGCTGAAATAGTTTGGAATAGCCTGATGAATAGGTTTAAGCAAGCAGATCTAGCTCGTATTTTTGAAATCGAACAAAAACTGTGTTCTGTGAATCAAGGTGCTCGTGATGTCAGCACATACTACACTGAATTGGTAACGTTGTGGGAAACGTATACGAATTTTGTTGAATTGCCGATCTGCACTTGTGGGAAGTGCGAATGTTCTGCGACAACAAAATGGCAAAAGATGCACGAAAGGAGTAAGGTCATGAAGTTTCTTATGGGACTAAATGAGTCTTACGAATCTACTAAGAGGCAAGTGTTGATGCTAAAGCCTTTGCCTAATATCAAAGAAATTTTCAATATGGTGTGCCAAGATGAGCGTCAAAGGGTATTGAAGCCAATTACAAGTGTTGAGAACGTGGTGTTTCAAGCTTCAACTACTCCAACTGAAGCTGAATTGCAGCATTTTGCGGCTTATGCTAACTACAAGGCACGACCTCATCCTGTTTGTACACACTGTGGTATGACTGGTCATATGGTGAACAAGTGCTACAAACTTCATGGGTATCCCCCTGGTCATCCTGCGGCTTCTAAAGCTTCAAGCACTCCTACTCCTCCTGCACCAAAGCCTGCACAATCAACTCAACAATGGAAGCCTCCACAATACAACTCTTATAACAAGACCAATGTTATTGCTAAAGCTGTTGCTGATGCCATGCCACAAATGCCAGTTTACTCTACGCAAAACAGTAGCTTGGATTTGAGTTCATTCACATCTGCTCAAGTTCAACAGCTCATTACTCAGTTACCTCACATGTCAAGCCTCAGGACACTACGGTTCAGCATCCATCCGCATCAATAACAGAACATGACGTGATGGCTTGCAATGCTTCTGCAGGTACTGTGTCTTTCCCTTCCTCTAATCTTCGTTTTGAAAATCAAACCCTCACATACCAACACCATTGTTTACCCGCTCTTTCAAATATGATTCCTAATGGTGCTTGGATAGTTGACAGTGGGGCTACGGGCCATGTTTTTTCAGATCTCTCCTTGTTTTCTGAAGTACAGACAGTCAGGGATAAGACAGTATCATTACCTAATGGTGTTAGAGTACCCATTTCACACACTGGCATTGTGCATTTATCCACATCATTGACATTGTATAATGTTTTGCATATTCCATCTTTTCATTTTAACCTGATTTCTGTGAGTTCTCTGGTGCAACTTAGCTTATGTTCTGCTCATTTCTTTCATGACTGTTGCATCATTCAGGACCTTACTCTGGGCTCGACGATTGGGAAGTGTAGTCTCATTAACATCTATATGTGTTCACTGCAAAAGACTTAGCTTCATCTGCTCTCATTCAACCGTTTGTTGGATCTTTGGTTGCTGATGGGGACTTATGGCATCAACGCCTTGGGCATCCTTCTGCAGCCAAATTACATTGTTTGTCCAAAGTTTCTAAAAGTGTCCTTAGTGCATCTTCTCATTGTTCTGTCTGTCCTTTAGCAAAAAAAAAAGCGTCTTCCATTTGTTTCACATAACCATGTAGCTGATAATGCATTTGATCTAGTCCATCTTGATGAATGGGGTCCATTTGCTCATGAAACTGTTGAAGGTTTTAGATATTTCCTCACTCTTGTAGATGATTCTACTCGTGTAACATGGATATACCTTTTATGTAATAAAAGTTCTGTTGCTACGGTTTTCCCTGCATTTCTTAAGCTTGTTGAAACTCAATTTCCTACAACCGTTAAAGCAATTCGATCTGATAACGCTCCTGAACTTGCATTTCCAGATATCATTAGGGACAAAGGCATGATCCATTATTTTTCCTGTGTTGATACTCCACAACAAAACTCAGTAGTTGAACGCAAACACCAACACCTGTTGAATGTGGCTAGAGCTTTGTATTTTCAATCTCATGTGCCTGTTAGTTTTTGGGGTGATTGTGTACAAAATGCTGTTTACTTGATCAATAGGACTCCTTCACCATTGTTAGGAAATCAAACTCCTTATCAAAAACTTCTTAAGAAAGAGCCTGAATATGAATCTTTACGTGTCTTTGGTTGTCTCTGTTACGTTTCGACCTATCCAAATCTTAGAACAAAGTTTTCATCTCGTGCAAAGGCAGCTGTTTTCTTAGGATATCCACCCGGTTTTAAAGGCTATCAAGTTTTTGATCTTGAAATCAATACTGTGGTTATTTCCCGAAATATTGTGTTCCATGAAACTACTTTTCCTTTTAAAGATACAACTCTGTTCTCTCAGGTTCCTGATTTGTTTCCCACATCTATTTTGCCGATGCCTGTTCCTGATAACTCATCCCCTGATATTGATTCGTTTCCGCATAACATTCCCTCTGATCATTCATCTTCATTTGATAATGCATCGTCATCTTCCTACTATAGATCCATTATCATCATCATCATCTCATTCACACTCTAACACTGCACCTATCACACAACATACATCTTCTGACTTGGCTGTTCATACTTCGTTAAACAATGGGAGACCTAAACGGACACCCAAGGCACCATCTTACCTATCTGAGTTCCATTTTTATCTTATTGACCACATTACCACTACCCCAACTTCCCCCCGTTATCCACTGTCTTCTGTTATCTCCTATGACCATTTATCCCTCCCATATCACCAATACATCCTCTCCATCAGTACTGACACAAAATCGAGAAACTTTGCTGAAGCTATTAAGTCTACTGCATGGACAAACGGTATGGATGATGAGCTTCAGTCTCTTGAGCGTAACAAGACATTCTCTGTAGTTCCATTGCCACCAGGGAAGAATGTGGTTCGTTGGAAATGGGTCTACAAGTTGAAGTATAACCCTGATGGCTCTATTGATAAGCATAAGGCGAGGCTAGTCGCAAAGGGCTTTACTCAACAGGAAGGAGTCGACTATATCGATACTTTCTCACCGGTGGCCAAACTCACAACTGTGAAGCTTATTCTTGGTGTTGCTGCTCGTTTTGGCTGGAGTCTCACTCAAATGGACGTTTCAAATGCTTTTCTCCATGACACATTGGACGAAGAAATCTACATGGCTCTTCCATTGGGTTACACACCACCACCAGGAACCACTCTTCCGGAGAATCCGGTTTGCCGCCTACACAAGTCCTTATACGGACTGAAACAGGCCTCACGACAATGGTATCATCGTTTCTCTTCAGTTCTACTTGATGATGGTTTTATTCAATCTGCTGCTGAGAACACATTGTTTGTGAAAGTTGAGGGTACTGCTATCGTTGCACTTGCGGTTTATGTTGATGATATTGTCATTACCAGTAATGATGATAGTGCAGTTGATCGTGTTAAGCAGACCCTACACAAGGCTTTTGTTATCAAAGATATGGGTCTTCTGAAGTATTTTGGTTTAGAGATTGCCAGATCTTCCAAAGGTATATCAGTCTGCCAACGGAAATACTGCTTAGACTTGGTGCAGGAAACATGTCTTCTGGCTGCCAAACCTTGCTCGGTTCCTATGGATCCTTCGGTGAATCTAAGTTCTGAGACAGGCAAGCCACTTGATGATCCACGACCTTACAGAGGACTGATTGAGAAACTCTTATATTTGACTATCACCAGGCCGGACATTACATACGCGGTGAAAAAACTCAGCCAGTTTCTCTCTAAACCAAATGATTCTCACCTTAATGCAGGCCATAAGGTTGTTCGGTACCTGAAGTCAAACCCAGGTCAGGGTCTCTTCTATTCTGCCTCTACAGATGTCTGTTTTAACGCATTTGCTGATGCAGACTGGACTACTTGCAAAGATTCCAGACGATCTGTATCTGGTTACTGTGTTTACTTAGGGACATCACTGATCTCGTGGAAATCGAAGAAACAGAAGGTTGTAAGCCGTAGTAGTTGTGAAGCTGAATACAGGGCAATGGCTGATGTTACTTACGACTTACTCTGGATTGATCAATTGCTGAAGGATCTTCACATCAAAACAACTGGACCTTCAAAGTTGTTTTGTGATAATAAATCTGCTCTTAGCATTACTTCAAACCCTGTCTTCCACGAGTGCACAAAACATGTGGAGGTCGACTGGCACAACGTTCGAGATCAGCTGAAGAATGGTTTCCTAAAGACGTTTCATGTTAGCTCCCAGAATCAACATGCTGACATCGTGACCAAGCCGCTTGGTCCCTCTCTGTTTCATTCTTTGTTGTCTAAGATGTCAGTTTCAAGTCTCTTTCGTTCTTCTTCGAATCCGAATGCGACTTGAGGGGGTATATTAGACTGGTTAACTTAAATTACGGTTTAGCTGGTTTAGTATGCTGGTTTAAGTTTCCTTTAGCTTTGACCAGTATATATATGTAAACACTGTACATTGTTTGAGGAATCAATGAGAAATATCTTCATTCTCTTTCTTGTTCGTGAGCTGAATTCGAAGTCGTGATAAATAGTACAGTTTAACAGATCAAGATCAGGGCTACACTGAACATCGACTCTAACACATAAGAACCCTCTGAGTGAGTCACAAAATATGGAATCAAAGAAGACGAAGATACGTTGCAGATCAATTTGTTGAATTTATCAAAGAGTGTTTGGTTGAACTTATTTGAGTTTGGAGTAGAACGGGGAAGGTAAAGAATGATTCCTGGTCTGACCTCAAGTTCAGAGAAGAAAGAAACATTGGAGTATCAAACCATACACTCTTCATAGTATATGACCGCTTCTTTGTTAAGACTACAGTTTGTAGCGATCTCTATTGTTGCGGTTTGAACGCACTCTGAGCAAGATGTTGCAGTGGTGTCTCCTCTACAGAGGAACATGCCATGGACTGTGTCAGGACTAAGACCGATGCGTTAGAATAAGTTCTGAGAGAGGAAGATTCTCGGAGTGAAGAGAGTAAAGTGTCACGGTTTGCTTCGTATGAACTGGTATGTGTAAAGTTTTCGATAGGATTGCAGAAAGTAATAATGTGTTTAGGTTGAGACACGGTTTGATGAGAGAACAGAGAGAAGAGGAAGAAAACAGAGAGAGTGTAATTATGATTCTTGCCATTTTTTTTGTGTGTGTGTATTTGTATGAGACAATACAAAACAGAGGAGATAAAGACTTTATAGTAGAAAGAAAAGAGTTTTTGTTGTTGTTGATTTTATTCAAAATTAATGATTTTATGCTAATTCAGAAGACGAACATGTAAAACTATTATTGTTTTCATCAGTGATTGATAACTATCTTTACCAAGACAAAATCATAAAGTTGACTCATTTGATTAGTTAGTCTCTGAAGCAACACAGAGACTTAGTTCTACAATTTGGAAGACACAGTGTGATGATGTATAGCGAGAAGAAATTACTGCAGAAAATATGAAAAGGATAGGACGAGGAAGTAATTCAGCTTCTTCTTCATTCAATCAGCTTTTAAATTTATATATTTTTTTTTTGTAAACCCACAAGAACTAAGAACAGCGTTACTTAATACGCTAGGAAAATACAGACAATTCTGAAATCGGTAATAGTATTTTTTTTTTGGAATTGTTCATAAAGTTTTGTTTTATAATAATCCTTTCCTCGTTAAATAAATTTAAATTTTTCTCTAACAATTTCTTACGTTTTTCGTTTTTATATTCTTAAGTTGACTATCAGTTTAATAGTTAAGACCATCATATATATTATATTTATGGGTATGATTATACATTTTGAAAATGTATAGCTGACAATTTATCATGTTTTGAAAATGCAGTGTAAAATTTAACTGGTAGATAACAAGAGAAACGTTAAAGAAAAAATGGATACGTATCAAATTCAAAAACATATTTTATTGATATATACAAGCAAAACATAGGCACATAGGCCATAGCACATCACAATTCACACGGATTGAAAGAGAACAAATTATTTTAGATCAATATTTATAATCCATAAATCATCAAATCTGATCGCATATTTACAAGTGCAAACACCAACGCTCTCACTATTAATTAAGGACAATTATCCCAAATGTACAGGACCAAATCACAGAAGCACAGGGCGGATAAGGTTGAACCGGACTCGGTTCTCTGGTTCTCCATACGGCTGATGTGGATCTATGGTTCTCCATATGGTTTAATCTGTTCAGTCCATATGGTTTCCTCTGTTCTCCATATAGAGCTTTGGTTCTTACGTACAAGCGCTCAAAGTGTTGTTCTTTTGAGCTTCCAGTAGATTATAGATATGGTGATTAATAAAACTTCTATCATCTTAAATTCTTGGATCTTTTTGTGATAGGGTATTGGCTCTATGATAAGAAATATATCAATGACACGAAGAGTGGTTGATAAACGAGGGACCTTTGAAGCAAATGCATAATCTTCTCTTTTACAGAGATTAGTGCATACATACCTACAACTACAATTACAAACATCAATTTTATTACCTTCCCATCCCGAATATGCATTATGAATATCATTATTTGAACCAAAAAGAAAAGAATGTATGCATTATATATAGGGAAAATTAGCAAATTACACTAATTAGGTTTCTGAATATATTATTTTTTGTATTGCAACTATATTGCAACTCACGGTTTTTGTAGCGCCGTTCTTGCAAAAGCTTCTTAATGGCTACTGATTCTCCAGTTTCCAAACACTTGGTCTAGAAAGGAAAGTTCATAAATTAGTCAGAAATGGAAGAAAAAAAGGCTATTGCCTAGAAAAGCTAACAGTGACAAGCACAAAAGTTACCTGGAATACAATTCCGAAAGATCCTGTTCCAACAACCCGCTCGGCCATGTAACTAATGGTCTGTAAAAGCCATAAAGACAAAACATAAGCAAATAGGCCTACTTAAAGTTGGCATTAATGAGACACAAATGGTTAACCCTAAAACTTAGGTAACCCTTCACACATTAGTGTGCATCGAAATCATGAGCAATAACTGCATCATTTGTAGATCTAATCCTACCTGTTTAGGTTCACCGTTTTTGCCTCCAATTATAGTGGAAATGATGTGACCAGTAACAACATCATTTCCCTCTATCACAGTAGCAGACATGTCCAGCAATCAAACAAGAACATATTATTACAAGCATTAAACTATTCTTGTCAACGAAGAATAAAGGAAACTGGTAACATTTAGTTTTTTCTCCCATAATAAACATCAGATCACAAAATAATAACCAATAGAAAAACTAATCTAAATTATTTGAATCCTTCTTCACTCAGTCTTTGTCAAGCATATGGTCTTTTAAATAGCTTTCAAACCTAGCAACATTAGGATGTCAACTATTTTGTGGACATCAAATCCGTACATTCAAAAGATACAAACATTACACACCATGGAACAAAACACTGTTTAGAATGAAGAACAAAACAAAAGAAAGTTCATAATCAATACAGACTGCAAAAAGAGAGAATGGGCCAAGAATCACATAATTACACGCACAAACACTACAAAACCTGTCAGGATTAAAACTCGAAGACCCACAAGTACTTTGTGGAGTGAATAGTGTTGAATAAAACAACCGAATATGAATAACAAAAAGCCAAATAAAGTAATAACATTCACCTGAGGAAATATTTTATAGATGAAAGGGAAAAACGAAATTAATCAGTAAAACAAGCATTTACATCGTGTTCTTGCTCTTAAAGTTTCTGTACCCTAATTGTTAAACAAGAATCAGGATCTTCACTAAGGAAAAGGTTGAAACTTTCATCTGACTACAAAAAAGTAAGACTAGCTACTATCAAGTCAAATTCGCCATCTTCGATGAGAAAAGCCACTTCGTGTGAGCTCAAATCAGAAAACAACACGAACGAGCCCAAGAACACATATCGATCTGCTGAGACACCGAAAAAAGAAAAACCCGAGCTAGATCTAGCCGAGATATAGAAACACCCACCAAACGTAAGATTGAAACGCATAGTTTACCAAACAAAGACATAAGAGGATCAAACAGAGAAAGAGAGACGCAAACAAACGGAAAGGTAACAAAAAAAAACTTTTCTGTATCCATACCGGGACGACGTTTCAAAGCATCGCCGTCGCAAAGGTGCGGCGGCTGAAAAGCTGTAGCCGACGGCTGAGGAGCTGTAGCCAACTGCAGAGGCCACAATGGTATTGAGGTAATGTGCTTTACAGCTCTTCTTTCTCTCTCTCTCCCACACTGAGGACTAAAGACTCTCTTTTTTCTCTCCTCTCTCCTACTGTGTCTAAACTTCAGAATTCTTTCAAAGATACAAGAGGACCCACGCGCGAATATAGCGCGTAGGCCTTACGCTCCAATGAGAACGCTAATCTCGTAATTGTTTTTGTCAACAACACTAATCCTGTAATTAGTACTCATTACTTGATATTATTAGCAGTGAAGTCAATACTGAAAAGTGTTGATAACCTCACAATCCCCTTAACAAATAACTGGTACATGTTATATACAAATTATAATTACAACATAGTGCCTAGTGATAACACAATTTTTAATTTGGGTAACAAATGATAGCATTTGCAGATTTTTACAAAAAAAAAAGAAGAAGTTAAATCCATTTCTGAATTGGGAAAAATAGTTATAAAAATAGCATAATTTTATGTATTTTCCACTTGTAGACGATTCTTTATCAATTTTGCGTGATGAGAATAATAATACTCATACTATTGTTTATGTCTGGTGTTCAAGAGATTTTCTAATAATCTATTACAAAAAATAAATTTAATTTACGAAAGAAAAACTAGGAAAAAAATCTCTATATATGTTCATTTGAATTAAAACTATGGAAACTGATGAAGAATTCAACAAAATCAGGATTTTTTCTAATAATGATGAAACTTATTACAAATAAGAAAGAGTACAAATACATATAATCTCAGCTTACAATGAACCTGCTCACTACTAAGCAAAAAATATTTTTCCAACAATGTCTTCTAAACCCTTTCATCTGCAACTATATATTAACCCCAGAAGCAGCAGCATGTTTGCAGCTAAATGAGAATTCTGGATTATACCCACATCTTTGCATCCCATTAAAGTTGAGGTTCCATGCATTTTCATTGCTGGATGCTTGTGGTATATTCTCCTTTCCATCATGGCTTTGGCTTTTGGGTGCTCCATGTTGCTCTTCGACCACTATTGTCTTCCCCTTTCTGGCTGCACCACAAGCATCCTGCCAAGTAGCAGCAGATGTTGTTGACTTAAGCAGCAGCAACAACAACAATTCAAATAGATCGTCTCTCCCAAACTTCAATCTGAGAAATACCTCTTCTTCTACCGAAGTGGAGATCCCTCCTGTTAGCGCAAAAAGTTAAAAAATATCTTTGCTTTATCCCAAAATTCTGTTGGTTTCATGATTTTAGGCAAGGCTTCCAATACAAAGCCTAAAATTCATGTAAAGAACAGAATTTTGGAATAGAAGCAAAGATATATTTTACCTTTTGCAGCTCACAAGATGGATCTGCAACTTCGGTAGAAGAAGAGGTATTTCTCAGATTGAAGTTTGAGAGTGACGATCTATCTATATATATGTTGGTTATTTTTATACAATAAATAAAAATTAAGATGCCGTCTAAAAAAAATAAATAAATAGGATAACACATCACACGTCACACATATTCATATATAGTCAATCAATTAATTTTAGATTATAGACCGACAAATGCTAACACCAAAGTTGCCATGGCTGTAATGATAATTCTCCCATATAATTGGTTTCCTGCAACACCAAAAGGCCAAACATATTAATTTTTTATGATTGCGAATTCAATTATCTTCCTGATAGTTGGACTTTTATTATGAAAAAGTCAAAATAAAAACATCATTTTTTAAAAGAAGAAAAAATGAGGTTTTCATCTAAAATCTAAACAAGCTATTTTAGCATGTAAACATAGACCAAAGGATGTAGACGCATAAAAAAAAATAATCGAGAACACAGTATTATGCTCACCTTCCATAGTTTTAACAGCGAATGAGCCACTCGGTGACTGTGCAATTGGCAACCCGGCTGTGTCATACCTCAAAAAACATTTAGGAATATATAATTGAGCTACGAGCATTCTTGCAACAGTGTGAGATTGATAACACCATATTTTGAC